TAGATAGATAGATAGATAGATAGATAGATAGATAGATAGATAGATAGGAGAGAGGGGGAGAGGGAGAGAGAAATTTCTAGGAACTTGGTTTCTATCCTGTTGGAAATTTGCAGCTGATCATTTTCAGAATATTTTCTTCTGACAAAGCTATGTACTTACAAGAGTAAAGGCAAAAAGTATACAACATATATTTAGCGGTGTTATAAATTTGGGGTGAATACAGTCTCATTGAAAAGCCCCAATGAAGAAAATCTTCAAACCTTATTTCAAGGTTTACAATAGGCCAAACTCAAGTCAAATATTTAGAGCCATAAGCCTGTCTTTTTATTAAGAAATTATCAAAGGTGATCTTATGCTCTATAAGCAGGATTGTATGCATTGAGACAATTTTTCAAATAAGCGTCTCTCTATTTCATTGTTAGGACTACTGTGAATGGTTTGTTAGACCTCCACAGTTAAGTGGAATTGTCCTTGCCTGGGGTTTTGTTGATTTTTGTTGCAATACAGAGTCATTAGAGAATGCCAGGTATCCATATAAGGTTATAATGAGAGTATGGTGCCCCATTAGTTTATATATAATCTACAAATGACAGCATCTAAGGTGTGCCCTGAAGATCAGTGGTAGATATGTGTGGATTCCTTGCTAAATAAATGTATGCTCAAATAATATATTGTTGCAAATACAGGTAGTCAACTTTCAACAATTCCTTCAATGACCATTCAAAGTTACAAAGGCACTGAAAAAAATGACTTATGACTTATTATCATTGATCATATGATCAAAAATTCAGATTCTTGGAAACTGATTCATACTTATGACCACTGCTGTGTCCCAAAGTCATGTTTTCAAACTTTTTGACAAGCAAAATCAATGGGGAAGCCAGATTCACTTAATTACTGTGTTGCTAACTTATCAACTGTGGTGATTCACTTAGCAACTGTGGCAAGAAAAGTCCTAAAATGAGGCAAAACTCACCTAACAAAGTTCTCACTTAACAACAGAAATTTTGGACTCGATTGTGGTTGTAAGTCAAGGGCCACCTGTAATTGAAAAAAACTAGGACTGTTTCCTAGTATGATTTGATTGTTTATTGTACCCTATGACTTATCATTAAGTGCTGTACTTTATGATTCTTGCCTCTTGACGACTGTATCTTTTCTTTTATGTATACTGAGAGCATTTGCACCAAGACAAATTCCTTGTGTGTTCAATCACACTTGGCCAATAAAAAAATTATTCTATTCTATTCTATTCTATTCTATTCTATTCTATTCTATTCTA